ACACGAACTGCAGCCGGAATAGAAGTTGTGTGTCTTGGGTAAGACATCCTGCAGAATCCCAACTCTCTTTAGGCTGTTATGAATTCAGAGTTTCCCATCTCCTAAACCGGGTGCCACTCAAGGCTATTGATGTGGGGCCAAAGTTGGGACCACAGAAGGAAAACACAGAACACGGATTAGAAGTAAGAAAGATATATTAACAACAGGTTACAGAGATAGTGTAAGCGGAGCATACTATATGTTAGTTTCCAACACTGGTAGTCGTACGCGGCTCTCTGTGTCATTCTCTGTCACTCTCTCTAGAGTGCTATGTCGCCTACTTAATATAGGCTTGAAAGATTCTATTATGTAGGTAGTTTCCGGTCTCACAATACCCACCTTCCAAAGAGTTTTCTTTTTGAAAAGGAGAAAAAAAATAAAACTTAATAATTTTTTCTTCTTGGGATTTACGTCGAGCGGTTGAGTAAATTTCCTTTTCCTTCTTGAGCGTCGCACTTCAGGAGAGACTTGGGGCATGTCGAGATCGAAGTGATTGAAAATTACGTCGATCGGCTCTTCACAGTTATTTTGTAGTGATTCCTCCGATTCCTTCAAACGGCATTTTCTGAGCTGGTTGCAATGGCGTTTGTGAATGTTTTTCGGTCCTTGGACCATATATATCAGTTCGCCAATTCTCTGCTTTATGGTGCCCACTTCCCAGAATGTCATATTGTTCTTGTACGCCTTGAAAAAGACCCTATCGCCAGGAGTGAAATATTTCGTATGAGGCGATACGGTTTTTTTGAACTTTGGTTGCCGTGGAATAAGTTTGTCGAAGACAGACTTTATTTTCTTTGCGAACATTGTTTCTGCAGGCGAGCTTCCCATAGGCGTGTTCGGATTAGGGGTTATCCGATACACCTGCAGAAATTGTTGCAATGCTCTATCTGTCGGTGTGCCTAGTGCCTTTCTTAAAGCCCTTTTTAAAGTGTCCACGAAACTTTCGGCCTGGCCATTTGACCTAGGGTGGTACTGAGGCGTTGTAATGTGGTCCACCTGATATGACTTGCAGAAGTCTCTAAATTCACTTGATGTGAATTGAGTGCCATTATCTGTAACTACACAATCTACCACGCCAAAACGCGCGAATAGCTCGTGTAGAAACCCGATCGTGCAGTTTGTGGTTGGTCTTTTACATTGTAGGACCTCAGGCCATTTTGAGTGGCTATCCACAACAATGAGATAGTACATGTTGTCCATAGGCCCTGCAAAATCCACATGAATTCTTTTCGCCAGTTACGGATTTTGCTGTTTTATCCGTTTTTAATAAGGTCGGCTTGTTTAATTTTCGCCAAGTACGCCAGTTAATGATTGAAAGATCGGAACCCGAGTCAAGCTGGAATTTAATGGACTTACTGAAAATATCCACAATTACATATTTTCTTAAATTCCTATCGACAATATTTTCAGATTGAGTTTGCCTAATTTTATTTTTGGGTTTTCTCGTTTTGTTGGCATGCCTGCACGAAGTCAAAGTATGCCCACTTTTATTGCAATTCTTGCCATATTTTTTGTTCTTAACTGGACAGAATCTCATCCAATGCCATTTAACACAATGGTAACATGGTCCGGTCGGTTTCTTTAACCTATTTGCCTTTTGTCTTTGTGAGGGGAATGGGAGGTAGACTTACTTCTGATTTTATTAATCTGAGTCACACCTGATTCCTTGATAGTGTTTGAGTCACACTTTACAGATATTACTCTTTGACAGTCCTCTGCCAGTTTTTGGAGAGTCAATCCTTGTTCGTTCTCAAGCTTGGTCAGTACCTGTCGTCTGACTTCGGCGTCATCTGCTGATACTAGACCTTGTGCGAAAATTAAGCACTTAAAATCATCGGCAGTCAGTTCGGCTAGTTTAAAATCATTACAGAGCTTGTTTACGGATGCTGCAAACGTTAGAAAATCTTGCTGGTTGTCTTTGACTGTGTTCAGGCATTTCCAACGTTTGTGGAACAAGGTTTTGTTAGGCCCGAATAGTTCCGATAGGAGCTTAATAGTCTCTGAAAAATCCAAGTCATTCGTTTTCTTGGGTAGTATGAAGTTCTGTATGTTCTGTAGTTCCCAGTTTTCTCAATAGTAGACGTACCTTTTTTTTTTTACTGTGCCATTGTTCACAGTCTACGTTGAAAATATCTTCGTAGCGCCTGTAAAAAGCCTCGAACATTTTGCCGTTCTCTGGTACGTATTCAAAGGTTTCCATTGAATTGTAGATTGTACTCTGGGAGAATATTTTATCTTTTTCAGAGTTTGAGCCTTTTAATGCATTTACGAGTAATTCTTTAAGTTGTTTCTGTTGTAGTTCAGCATTCTGAAGCGTAATTTTCTGGAATTCCCTTTCTTGTTTATGTAATTCCAAAAATAGTTGTTGTTGTCTTTCTTCCGATTTTTGTTGCTGATCCACATTTAGTTTTAACATTTGGGCAACTACTTTTTGCAAATCTTCCGTATTTAAAAATGACAGCGCTTTTTTGTTGCTTTGAAACACATGTACTAAGAGGAGGTACACAAAAAAATCTTGATAGATCTTTGTTCCTTTGTTTTTTTCCTTTTACAGGGAAAAAATATGGACAGACAATTAGTTAAACTAAACCAATTATATGTGTTTAGCATTTTTTTTTCTTGGTTCCGTTAATTTTACCGTAATTGTATAAATTTTAACCACACATATGTATTTTTTTTTAGAAAGGTACAAAAAGAGAAAACTCACCTCAGTGAATTTGAGGGGAGAATAATTTTATGCACGAGTTCAACTCAGTTACATAAAAAATTTTTCGATAATTTTTGCGAAAACTTGAGTACAATGGTAGTACTTGTTCTTGTATTGTCAGTTTGTTTTACGGACAAACTGTATTTTTTTTTCTGTGTGGGTGTGTAAGAAATCGTTCTCGTAATGTTATTTGGACAGACTTTAATATTCCGTAGATGTCGAATCGCTAGTTCGTCATTAATGTTTGGTATTGGAATATATATTATTTTTTTATATGTAGACGCTGGGTGTGGCGTTTAAATCGCTAATGTAGTAATACCAGCTTAATTTCTCGTTCAACACTGCTGTGAGAACGCGTGGAGCTTCTGTGTATTTTTCGAGGACTCTGTCGCTATTGATATGGGGAGAAAGAAATTCTCGAATCTTTTCTGTCGCCACTGTTGGGGGACTGGCAAGGAATTGCGGTTTTTCGACGTGAACGCGTTTCTAGAATTCTTCGTCGACCCAGAGGTGGGATTAGTAAGGTATTTAGGTTTCGCCGTGAGTGCGTTTCTAGAATCCTCTTCGCCACTGATGTGGGTGCCAAATTTGGGACCACAGAAGTAAAACACGGAACACGGATTAGAAGTAAGAAAGATATATTAACAACAGGTTACAGAGATAGTGTAAGAGGAGCTTACTATATGTTAGTGTCCAACACTGGTAGTCGTACTAGACTCTCTGTGTCACTCTCTGTCACTCTCTCTAGAGTGCTATGTCGCCTACTTAATATAGGCCTGGAAGAGTCTATTATGTAGGTAGTTTCCGGTCTCACAATAGCTATAGAATTCAGTCTGTCCTGATACCTTCCCATAGCTGGTAGGGGAACAGATGGATTCATACATTTAACAAGAGAATAAACACGTAAGTGAATGTAATGTTTTCGGCTGGAATTTGAATTCGGTTTTACCAATTCCTTAATCCGAGTCGCAATCCATTACCGTACATCATAGTTTTATTCTGAATATAAGTATTTTAGTTCGCATGTTTTTATGACTTTCTTATCTCTTCTGTTTCCTTTCTAGGGCATATAATGAGAAAACAGGGTGGCGGGTAAATGAGACACCCACATGACGTATTGAAGTAAAAGCTATGCAATGCACATTGGACAAAAGAAAGCAGTGAATAACCGGTCTAAACAGATTGTGTCAATGGTTGGCAGAATACAAGTTTAGAAAAATAACAAAAAAGTATACATTGCTCAGAGCAAAAAAGGATATGAGGTTATGAAGAAGCATGATGGCCTATGTGCCAAAGCTTTACAGTGCATATGAGAAGAATGCATAAACATCTATTTTATAAATGAATTAAGCAAATGCTTATTTATAGCTCCACAAGTGTAAGAAATCTATAACGTATCTATTAAATAATGACTAACTTTGACCGCATGAATTTCATTAGACTATATACCATGATAATATTATATAAAGTAAGGTGTGATTTTATATAAAATAGAGTTAATTTTGAGCTATTCAACACTGCTTTATTATTAGAGTTTATTATTAACGGGGATGAAAATATATGAATACTTACCTGGCTTATATCAGAGGGTATACCCTAGATGAGGCTCTACCGAGGAGCTGAGTCTCGTCTCGGGAAACTGACTCCGTTTTTACGCGGTCTATAGGGAATTTATGTACGAGCCTACGGGCTCGGATACCCCCTTTAAACTCGGCCTTGTGCCACATCTTGCTGCCTGGGGTAGCGGGTAAATAATTATATAAACGCTAGCATATCATGAATCATCACCAATCAATGTCAATAGTTGCAATAAGAACAAAAATTTAAATAATAAGTTATTTTTTATAAAAAATGATGATATCTTATTAAAAAAAATAGGAAAATGAAAAATGCATAGAAATCGCAACTTCTAAAAGAAAAAAATATACTGACTATTTGGAAATGACTTGAATAAAATTTATGATTATGATTTATCTTCAGGATAAATCAATATAAAAAGCGATTAAACAAACCATGCGATAAAAATTCCTCGCACGACATCCATTTGTAGGTATCTCACTTGGTTTGTTTCCTTTCCCGCAATTTCTCACGTATAAGCTCGTACCACCCTCAAAGCAAACTATATGTGACTCTATTCCTTAATGAAGATCTCAATAATATTTTGGCTGCTCCAATATATATTTAAAATGGAAAGGAAATAAGAATTTAGAATCATTTGCCGGAAATAAATATGTACTTTATTTAATGGGTTAAGATATTTTATCTATCTATCTATCTATCTATCTATCTATCTATCTATCTTCATTTCATTTCGAGCTACTTTGTTCTTTACTTTCTTTCTATCTATGTATCTATCCATCATTGTAATTTAATTTTCTCTCTCTCTATTTCTCTCTCTCTCTCTCCATATATATATATATATATATATATATATATATATATATATATATATGTTCCTTTCATTTCGATCTATTATTGTGCTTTTTATTTCTTACTATCTATGTATGTATTTATCCATCTTTTTCTGTCTTTCTATTTATCTATCTAAGTTTTATTCATTTTCTTTATCAATCTATCTATTTTTGTTCTTTTCATTTCTTTCTACGTGCTTATTTTGTTATTAGCATTTTTTCTAGAGAAGTTATTCTACAAATAGACCATCGTCAGTTGTTGTCATATATATATATATATATATATATATATATATATATATATATATATATATATATATAAAATGTGTTCCCACACATACAGCAAATAGACTGCAGCGCTGGAGAACCATACTATTAAATTACAATTACAAAATGGAATTTCTATCATCTAAGAAATTAAGTCATGTACACGGATTGTCTCGATTATTATCAAGTTTCTGTGAACCACTTGAAGACACAGCAATTGCCGCGATAAGAACAGAAACTGTATGTAACAGCGTATTATATAATACCTTACGAGAGCTTCCCATTACATTTGAGGAAATAAGAATTAAGGTGGAACATAACCACTTCATAAAGAAAATGAAAGATAAATTAAGATCTAAAAGGAAAATATTATAGAAACAATTGCCTTTTCGTTATGCAATGGTGTACTGATGTACGCTGAAAGAGTGGCTATTCCAGTATTGTTACAAAGACGTTTGTTCAAAGAATTTCATAGAAGACATCCAGCTATTTCTAGGATGTTATACTTTCTGGCCAAACGTGGATAAGGATATAGGAATTTTGGTGAAATTATGCAGAGGTTTTGCTCTGGGAACGAAGTCACCGCCTATCAAAGTTCAACCTTGGCCGCCAATTGATATGCCATGGTCTAGAATAAATATTGACTTCGCAGGACCGATAATCGGAGCGTACTATCAAGGACACTGAGAAAATCTAAGGGAGAGGAGTCAGATGAGGAAATGATTGAAGAATTTCTAAGTGTTTACCGAATTACACCAATCCCTAACACAGTGTCTGGAATGTCCCCTGCAGAATTGATGTTCGCAGGGATGATCAAGGCCGTTTTCAATAAATTGTTACCTGAGCGCAAGGCGAGAACATCAAAGAATAACTATACACATATTTATTTCAAACCAGGAGCCAAAGTATTTTCAGGATGTATCAGCGCCGAATAAAATTTTGCCAAGATTGTGTCGTTAAAAATCGTATCGGCAGAATGACGTACATGGTACAGGGATAAATGTGGGAACATGAGACACCTGAATCAGTTGAAACGAAGGTTCACTTAGTTAAAAAGTCCCTGAACAGAAAATGTCCCCGAACAGAAAATATCCCAAATTCTTTACGACACATTTAACGTAACGACGCCATCAGAAATCGTTCAACCAAGGGTTTATGGCAAAAGAAAAAGAATGCCAATAGTGTTTCTAACCATCGAACCAAAGCAGAAAAAGTATATATCCATGGGAAGTCAATTCAAAGGGGATGTGTTGTATAGGAATAAAGTGGCGTTGCTGACAGCATAATTTGAGCAAACTCGGAAAATTACATTATTAATTAAGTAGACCACGTGATCGTAAAGAAAACGTATAAATCTGAATTAGCGTGACGTCTAAGTGAACGCGAATTTTTATACTATCGACTATATTATTTCTCTCTACTGATCATCGTACGAATTACTATTCGGCGATTACTATTTAAGCTAGTATTATTAGTGCGTGTATTATTTGAAGGCGTTACTATTACCAGTATCTGCATTTACAAATCTCGTCTACGACAAGCATTTCGAAAAGGATAACAAGCATTTGTTGACCTAAGGAAAGTTAGAACGAGTGAGCTCCTGACATCAAAAATCTATCTATCTATCTATCTATCTATCTATCTATCTATCTATCTATCTATCTATCATATCTTCATTTTATTTCGAGCTATCTTTGTTCTTTACTTTCTTTCTATTTATCTATCCATATTTGTAATTTAATTCTATCTATCTATCTATCTATCTATCTATCTATCTATCATATCTTGATTTTATTTCGAGCTATCTTTGTTCCTTACTTTCTTTCTATTTATCTATCCATATTTGTAATTTAATTCTATCTATCTATCTATCTATCTATCTATCTATCTATCTATCTACCATGTCTTCATTTTATTTCGAGCTATCTTTGTTCTTTACTTTCTTTCTATTTATCTATCCATATTTGTAATTTAATTCTATCTACCTATCTATCTATCTATCTATCTATCTATCTATCTATCTATCTATTTTGTTCTCATTTATTTCTATCTTTTGATCTGTTATTGTTCTTTTTAGTTCTTTCGTTTTCTCTGTTTGTGATCCGTTTATTTCTTTCTTCTCTATATATCTATGGCATATGCATTTTAATTATCAATCTATGTTTGTACTTTATTTTTATCTATGTTACTTTATTTTTATATATGTATGTTCTATTCATTTGTATTTTCCATCTATCGATTTTTGTCCTTTTTAGATCATTCATTCTTGGTTTCATTCATTTTTCTGTCTATCTATCTATATTTCTATCTATCTATCTATCTATCTATCTATCTATCTATCTGTCTGTCTGTCTTTATTTTTTTAATTTCATTATATTTATCGATGTATCTATCTTTGTTCTCCTCATTATCTCTTTGTATCTATATATCATTATTATGTGTTTTTCGCTTTTTTATATCGATGTTTATTATTTTAGTTCATTCTATATATCTATGTTCCTTCATTCATTTGTTTCTATCTCTGTATTTTGATTAATTTCTTTCTTTCTTTCTTTCTTTCTTTCTTCCTTTCTATCTATCTATCTTGGTTCTTATCATTCATTGTATATAAATATTTATCTATTTACTACTATATTTTTTCTTTTAATTTCTTTCTATATATTAGTGTTTGTTCTTTTCATTTCTTTCTTTCTTTTGCATTTCATTTATTCATCCCACTATCTATGTTTTTTTTTCATTTTTTCTATATATCATTATATGGTAGTTACTTTTCTTCGTATGTATCTATTTAAATATCTATCTGTTTATGTACGACTTTCTATTCTTTTTCATTTCTTTCTGTTTAGTTAAATCATCAACATATATATATACATATAAATATATTATTTTTTCTGTGTGTAAATATATATATAGATAGATATCGACATCATGTATATATATATATATATATATATATATATATATATATATATATATATATATATATATATATGTAAATATATATATAGAGATAGATAGATAGATAGATAGATAGATAGATAGATAGATAGATATCGAAATGTCTATCATTTGCCTTTTCATTTCTTAGAATTTACATTTGTTGTATTAGGCTAAATAACAATGATCTAATTAAATGGCGGTTTTAAAACTATATATATCTCCTTCTAAATGACGTTAAGCGCATCGCTGTTTTTTATTCCAATATCAACACCAACTCAAGAATTCCATCGAAAGAATCCATTGTGTTCGCTGGTATATAAATGTCGTATCCATTAGAAGATATTGCAATATACATTGATCATCAATGCAGGCTTTCGTTATAAGCAACTTGGTCGGGTAAGGAAGCAATATATCGAAGGTTCTCTGCCTTTGTAAACAGAAAATGCCTTATTGTTTGATTACAATGACACACTCTGCAAAACAAAGCCAAGATAAAAATATGTTATTTCTTGTAAGAGGAAATAACATATTTCCACATGTTATTTCCACTGTTATTTCCACATGCTTTGTATTCGTAAACTTTGTCACGTACAACTTTGCTTTAGTTTTTATCACTACATGTTTTCATAACTAAAGGAACATCAAAAAATCATAAAAAAAGATTTTCGGATATATTTGGGCGAAAAATCCTGATATCTTAAAAATCTTAGAGACTTCTCAAAGGTTATCCTTATAATAAGATTACAAAATGCTGGTGTTAATTATAATCCCATACGAATTTTGTATTTCGATTTTGTGTAATGGTGAGAAAACATTACCCGTTACATCACTTACGACTGAGTAGTGAGTTTGATTCTCACTGGTTGCCCCATAATTTCGGCCTCGTGCTACAACTAATCCTATTTCTCTAATTTCTAATCCTATGACAATCGCGTATTACTGATAGTTTTCTTTTTATATATAAATCGTTAATACACACCATCACATATTTGGATATTGCCCAATCATCAACATCATTGTTGATTCAAGTTTTCCGTAAGTTCATGAGGATATCATTGTTTTTCTCATTTTGCAGTTTTCTTAAGGCTTGTGAGTTTTAATATTCCCAGATGATTATGCAAATTATTATATGGGGGATCTTTGTTATATTGATTACAGATATACTTCTATTCATTTATACATTCAGTCTCTTTGTCCAGTGCATGATTTCAGACTCTAATTTTAGACGCACGTAGAAACCATTGCCATTATGGTCCATGAGAATTATTTGTAACTATTTAAAGTTGTTACCTAATTAAGGCTATCATCATCCTATTTCGACCGTTGTCCTCTCTGTTTATATATATATATATATATATATATATATATATATATATATATATATATATATATATATATAAATAGCAGGGCAGACTGGGTTCTATAGCCTTGGATGGCAACTTGTCTAGGAGAAGGACAACTCTGAATTCAAAACCTGCGGAGAGTCGATTGGGGACCTTGTGGTACATAGTGCACCAGGTCTCTGTAAATCGGCTCTTCAAAAGGTGTGGATTGTCCTGCACGAAACCTTCACCACTATAATCAATTCTCATGTGCTGTTGTCGGGATGTCGGTTTCCTGGGAACTGATCTGCTTGACCCTCATACGTTCGACGAGTGAGTTGAGTATAGAGTGTATATATATATATATATATATATGGATATATATATATAAGCACATAAATGTATTTGATTCTTTATATATTCATTATGTCGTATCAACAATACATATTTTACATGTTTGTAATTCTGGAATATTAATTCACGTCAAATCTAACTAAACCTTCTTATTTTGACTTCTATTTTTTATCCAACTAGTGAAAAAAATTAAAATTTTAAAATATTTAAAATAAAATCATGGGTATCTCAACATTTTATGTTTTATCATATGTATACAATTATGTTGAAAATAGAAAAAAAACATCACGAGGTATTTTAAGTCGGTCGTGCTCACATGACGAAAACTTATGTGTAAAATTTTCAGTTTCAAAAACGCCTGAAATATTAGCGTGGGTGATATTGAGTAGAAAATAAAAATGTAAGAAATTAATGAGTAAAAGTACCCCTTATTAGTGTAACATACCATTCGCGCTTCTCAGGCAACTTATCTCCTCATACGACTATAATTGTTAATATCATTCTCTTCCAGTCAGTGACTTCTGTTCAGTCACCCGTTATTGTAAATTACCCAGAATAATGAGAAAGTATTTCAATAATTACTTTTGCCAAAAAAATATGTTTTCCTTACGGCATTGCTCAAAGCAGAATCTTTTCGAGGTGTTATAATATTTAGAAACGGAAATAGAAAGACTGAATATGCAAATGAAAAATTGCAGATAATAATAATAATAATAATAATATTTACATAAATGCGATTGTAGAAAACTAACATTAATTTAGCTACAGCTAAAGATTTACACGTCTCGCTGACATTTGCATTTGAATGATCTTGTGTAGTCACTCGAATATATACATTGAATTTTTTATTTGTACTCACATCGGACAAAGGTACTTCCTAAAGCTATCGTCTGAAATTCCCAGAGTTCTCTTCAAAACGGAGGACAACACCCTTATTGGATCAGCGTAAAATCCGAAACTTAGCATCAGCTCAAATCACCTGAAAGCCTCATTCACCGGGCATCAATCGCCGTTGGCATTTTTGTATTAACAGGAGCATTGTGGGTGTCGTCTCCTGAGATATTCCATGGAAAGGAAAATTACTGAAACGACCAGCTTGTACATCCTACAAAGTATGTGGATATAATTTAAGCCAGGGTCTTACATCCATAATTATTTTTAATGAATTCGATAATTACGACATTAATTGCAGGAGGGATTAAAATTGAATTTGAATTATGGGACTGTGCATATAAATTTATCTTAAGATTAGCATAAAATCGATCTGATGTGCAGTTATAAGTAAACAGTAAACTGTTATTTCCTTAAGTAAAACGCCCGGAAAAAAAAAAGAAAAAAAAGATTCAGAATGGATGGAAAATACGATACATCTCTAAAAATGTTCTGTTCCCTATACTGCTCAAGAAAATACCGGGCACTTCATCTGCATTCTTCAGATTTCGTTCATATCAGGTCGAAACACCCGTTCTTGTACGATCAGCGAAGTTAAACAGCGTTGGCTTGACTAGAAGGTCATCATTTGGAAATACCAGATTGTGTAAGCTTGTTTGTACTGGCAGTGTAAGTGATAACGTATCGGAGGTGGAAATCGTAGAGTCGTGTTACAATTCCAGTTGAGTTCGTTATATTTCACTTACTCTCAAATACCATTACCCATATTCTCTCGTCTAAGCTAAGACTTGGGTCAGTAAATCATTATTGTTTCCAAACAACTGGTGCAATCTAAAACTATTTTCATGTTTTAAACATCTTACAAAATGTCTTATAAACCGTAAACAGATCAATCAATCAATATGCTATATTATATTTTTAAAAGTAAATAAAAATGATGTGTCGCTTCTATATCTGAATTAGAGTTACCAAATACTTTCAACATTGATAGATTTCGAAATCTTTTACGCGTACTTGTAGGCGATTCTTTTAAACTAATCAAATCAAAGGTCAGATTTTATCTATCCTCATGGACAACAATTATTGGTACTACTTATATTCATATTGCATACTACATTCAGTAATCTTTCAATATGACGGCCTTTTGGCATAAAATATTTACAAAAGTTGGAAGAATACATTTAAAAAGATTGAATCTTGAAAACAATTAATGTCAGCATTTCAACAACGCGAAACATGTTCGAATCTCGCTATGGTCGATTCTATTAATACTATTGATAAGAACACACTATACCAGCAGGTACTAATATTAGGAAGTTCAGGAAAACAATAATGTTTTGTGACTAAATCTTATGATTGAAAATGCATATACTCAATAAGTATAATAGGTGATTGATTATATTGATTATATTGCAATAATTCGGAAATTGTAATGGCAGCTAACCACACCCACATGGATGGAAAATGACTTCAATAAAAATGGAAAAATAGAAAGCGGATGTACGGCATGAATGAGACCCCACACCCGATTTATTCAACCTATGCATTAAGCCGATTCTGAGAGAATTAGAAGCCTTATCAGAATTCGTTATTAGCAGTCAAAATCATAACAACATAAGATATGAATATGCCATGTTTTAGCAAAGAAAGTAAGAAAACTCCAAAACATCTAGGAAGGTAGAGATGAAAAGCGAGAAGAAAGGGCTAAATATCAACAGAAAGAAGATATAAAATATGGTTTTTAACAAAATGGAATACTCAGCATGATATTTAGAAATTAGAAATGCCAAAATCAAACAACAATTTAAACAAGAAAGATTTATTGAAACAAAACAAGTTCATTTGACCACTGATGACAATTCCAGAAAAACGTAATTATAACAATTTTTTCTAATCCTTGCCAGCCGCAATAATAGAGAAAGCATTACCTCGAACCATCGCCAATTAGACATGCTGCAAGAGACACTCCGTTTCGCGAGGCTCGTCCCTTAATCGAGACGCAATCGCGTCAATCCTACGAAGGAACGCCATCGAACGAGGACCAATAACCCCTGAAGTTTCCACTGCCACAGGAGTAAAAAAAAATCTATCAGTAAGAGAAGAATATTTAACTATTTTTTTCATCTCTGCGTCCCGGGCGACGGATCCTGGCTCAACTGAGGAACTGATCAATTTACCGACCGAAAATGTATCCGCACAGGTCGCATCCCAAATATTTGGAAATTCTTTTAACAGAGAACGACATTCGCGATAATGAAATTTGAATGTACATTGAGAAAGTAAAT